AGGTGGTATCTCAAACCAGATGAGTCTACTGTTTACTTTGACCCTAAAAGAGTGGTCCTGGCATCAATTTGTCACTTTCTGACTGCTCTCATGTTGTACAATTACTTCATCCCAATCTCCTTGTACGTGTCAATAGAAGTCGTCAAAGTTTTTCAGAGCAGTTTCATCAACAACGATATCAATTTGTACTATGAGCCATCTGACAGGCCAGCACATTCTCGCACCTCAAATTTGAATGAGGAACTTGGGCAAGTGGACACGATACTTTCTGACAAGACCGGAACATTGACCTGCAATTCCATGGAGTTCATCAAGTGTTCTGTCGCAGGGACTGCTTATGGCCATGGGGTTACAGAGGCTGAGCGGGGAATGGCTGTGAGAGAAGATGAAAGTGTGAATGGTTGGGACCAGAGCAAGGATTCTTCCACTACAAAACCGCACATTAAAGGTTTTAATTTTAAAGATGAAAGGATTATGGATGGGAACTGGGTCCATGAACCCCATGCTAACATCATTGAAAAATTTTTCCTCTTGTTGGCAATCTGTCACACTGCCATACCTGATGTGGATGAAGAAACGGGGAAGATTTCATACGAAGCTGAATCACCAGATGAAGCAGCATTTGTGATTGCTGCAAGAGAAATTGGTTTTGAATTCTACAAAAGGACTCAAACAAGTGTTGCAGTGCGTGAGTACAATCCAAAGACTGGGAAGAAAGTTGAAAGGGTGTATACAGTTCTGAATGTTTTGGAGTTTAACAGTGCAAGAAAGCGGATGTCTGTGATAGTAAGAAATGAGGAGGGGAAACTGCTATTACTTTGTAAAGGTGCTGACAGGTTTGTGATCAACTACCTTGAAACCCTTGAAATTGGAAAATTTCTTGTCTTTTAACCTATTGCTTATTAATTAAATTTAACCTGTATCATATGCAGTGTCATGTTTGAAAGACTTGCTAAGAGTGGTAGGGGGTTCGAAGAGGAGACCAAGAATCATGTGAATGACTATGCTGATTCTGGCCTGAGGACCCTAATACTTGCCTATCGTGAACTTGATGAAGAAGAATACAAAATTTTTAACCAGAAATTCACCGAGGCTAAGAATTCAGTTAGTGCAGATCGGGAAACATTGATTGATGACATGGCAGAGAAGATCGAGAGGAATCTAGTTCTTCTTGGCGCAACTGCTGTTGAGGATAAACTCCAAGAAGGGGTGAGTAAGAAATCCTAAAATGTTCTAAAATAAACCGGCCTTTTTAGAGATCTTGAATTTTTTGTTCTTATACTGTGTACCCATTAGGTTCCTGCCTGCATAGACAAACTTGCTCAAGCTGGAATTAAGATGTGGGTTTTGACTGGAGACAAAATGGAGACTGCCATAAACATTGGGTATGTTTTTTTTGGAAAAAGAGTGTTTGTATTGACACTTTTAAGATGAGTGGACATTTCATATTATACGTGGAGGCATCTGACTTGAAATTTTGAATATGCAGCTTCTCCTGTTGTTTGCTTAGACAAGGAATGAAGCAGATTATAATCAATTTGGAGAATCCAGAGATCCTGTCATTGGAAAAAACAGGAAACAAGGATGCCATTGCTAAGGTAAAGACTGCTTTAATTCATCAAAGATTTCAGTCCACTTCAGGTTATTTACTTGTGATTTATTTTCCTTTTCTCATGGTGTCATCTCGGTTGGGAGAAAGGGTGTTGAAGTCAAAGATGCACCTTAAGTGTTATGAATCTATATGTGATATTGATGGTATATACATTCATTTTCCAGGCATCAAGGGAAAGTGTTCTTCGTCAAATAACTGATGGAACGGCCCTGCTTACTGGACCAAGTGGAACTGCTGAGACATTTGCATTGATAATTGATGGAAAATCACTCGCTTATGCATTAGAGGATGACATGAAGCATTTATTTCTAGATCTTGCTATGAGTTGTGCATCTGTCATTTGTTGCCGTTCATCACCAAAACAGAAAGCACTGGTGGGTTATTTTTCTTAGTTTTTCACTGCTGTAGGTGCATATGTGTTGTTAGATAGTAAAGACTTTCTTCTGTACACTTCTCTTGAAAGAATAATTATTTTAAATGGTAAAATACAGGTTACAAGACTAGTCAAATCTGGAACCAGGAAAACAACATTAGCAATTGGTGATGGTGCCAATGATGTGGGTATGCTTCAAGAAGCAGATATTGGAGTCGGAATCAGTGGTGTTGAAGGAATGCAGGTCTTTTCCACAGAACAGCTTGCATCTCAATTAATTGTTGAAAATATTTCTCTACTTGATTGTAGTTCTCACCACCTGTTAACCCTATTTTATGCTTGTTTCCAACTCAGGCTGCCATGGCTAGTGATGTTGCAATTGCTCAGTTTCGGTATTTGGAGCGTTTACTACTTGTACATGGGCATTGGTGTTACAGGAGGCTCTCATCTATGGTAAGTTTATTCATATGTTTGGATTTGGACATGGCTTAATATTTCAGTATGGGCATTAAATTAACGTCAATGATTATTGATAAATGTGAAATGCCATCATGAGTTTTCACCTTTTCATGATTATACTGATATATATATATTTTTTTTTTCATATGCAGATATGCTATTTCTTCTACAAGAACATTGCCTTTGGTTTCTCCATTTGGCTATATGAGGCTTATACATCATTTTCTGCACAGTCTGTATACAGTGATTGGTTTTTGTCATTTTATAATGTCTTCTTCACGGCTCTTCCAGTTGCTGCTTTGGGTATCTTTGAACAAGATGTATCTGCTGCAAGCTGTCTCAAGGTATCTCACCCACTCACTTAGCAGACTCAATTATGGTCATTAGATGGTTAGTAAAGCAAAGTAAACATCTTGGCCAAATTTTGATCATTTTTTGACTTATTTCATATTTCAGTATCCTCTACTATACCAAGAAGGCGTGAAAAATCTCCTCTTTGGTTGGCGCCGAGTACTTCATTGGCTGGGTAACGGGTTCTATACTGCGCTGGTCGTTTTCTTCTTCTGCTCAACTGCACTGCAGCACCAAGCCTTCAACCCTGATGGAAAAACTGTTGGGATGGATGTTTTAGGAGGAACCATGTATACTTGCATCGTGTGGGCTGTGAACTTGCAGATGGCATTGACTGTTTGTTACTTCACCAAAATACAGCGTGGCCTAATTATATATTGTCTTTGTATGTTGTACATTTTCTTCTTGGCATTTGGGTCCCTGTCTCCGTCAATGTCTACAACTGCCTACAAACTCTTTACAGAAGCCCTTGCCCCGGCTGCTTCTTACTGGTTTACAATCATATTTGTGATAATCGCAGCACTGTTGCCCTTCTATGCATATTCAGCAATTGAAACAAGGTTCTTTCCCATGTACCACCAGATGATACAAAGGTTAGAGAGTGGGAAACATGAAGATGATCCTGAGTATTGTGATATGATGCGACAAAAGTTATTGCAGCCACCAACATCAGTAGGTTTTTCAGCACGGTTGGCAGCACGAGCTAATAAGTTAAAGCGTAAGAATAAGAATCAGCCACAATAATAGCTGATTGTTCCTGGAGGGCATCTGTCAGCATTTCTAGGTTGTGGTTATCTCTCAGAAGCTGAACTCTGTCCCAGCTGTATACGACTTAATGAGGCTTCTACTTTACCAGAAGGTATGGCCCTGCAAGTTAAAGAATTTTTGGTGATTTTTTATGGAAGCATCGTTCAGCTGTGCCATATGTGGAACAGGAGACTTATGCTAAAAGGAATTTAAATTTTGTTTGTTGTGAAAGGAATGTAATTTTTATACCAACTTGTATTATTATTACAATGTATTTAGGACACCATTGAATTGGTCGTAGATTTGGATTATTTGTTGTTTACAAGAATAAACTCTCTTCTTTTTCTTATTGTAACTTGTAGTTCAATTGAGTTTATTATTTTTTATTACTTCTTAATAAACTTGGATTCTTGTTAATTTGCTATTGATTATGGAGGAGAGGAATTTTCGTTTTCTTGCCTTTATTTCCCAATGCTTGATGAATTTGTTGAATCTCCTGAAGCACAACGGATATCTAGCTTGTAACTGCAGTCAAATGTTAAAACAGCAGGCGGCCAGACGCCCTCTCATTCTTAGCTGAACATTCATTGATTGGAACTAGAAATTCTCGGCTATAATGTTCTCTCTTTTCCTTTTTGGTACTCTTGGCCATAACGTTGTTTCCTTGGCAGAATAAATGTCAATATAATTGTTTGTTCTTTACCTGGGAAACACCAGAGAGGGAACTGATAAGTGAACTTCCTTATAGCCCTGGTTTGATTTCTAAATGAGTTAGTTGCACAAAAGTTTTAGCCCTAATCTCAGTGGTTTCAGGTTGAATTTTAAATGAGTCAATTTGATCTATAATTGTGTTGCACTTTACTGTAAGTTCCCATTACATCTCTCACCCACAGTTAGCATCCGTGTCTGAGTTTGCTCTTGCCAAGCCAGATTAATCCAATTCTGCAGAATTCTTGTAAGGATCACAGAACAGAATATTGATTTACACCATAATTTTCAGCACACATTTGTTTTGTTACTGCAAAAATATACTGAGCCAGGATTAGGTGAGTGGTTAATCCATTAGTTGATCCATAGAAATGGCTGTATCTGGATGGATCTGTAGATGATATCGCCTCAATTATGACAGGGAAAAAAGAGTTACTCGCACAATGAGTTCTTCACAAAAATGCATCTGGCCATCATCAGTAATTGCAAGAAACTGAAATTCATGCAGAAACATCTTACATTGCCATAACCATGATCTTATTCTTAGCAATCCAATTACACAGATTAACAACTACCCTTTTTCCATTGAATCATTGCATCCAGTTTTCATGCATTCAGAGGCCAAATTGCTTTCTCAAATGCTGAACGTTGACCTTGAATGATATGGCAGCCGGTTTCCTAACTTCCATAGATTGGTGATGCCGCCAGTAATGTCATGTAGCAGAAAAACTAGTAATGAAAATCTTGGACTGGTAGACAAAATGTCGTTTTCATGTTATTTATTTATGTCGACAATTCCAACCACTACAATAAATATAACATTATGCAATCTACAAGTTGTGTTAACGATGTTTCAAGTGGGATTCAGGTCTCTCCTCGTTCCATCTTGTTTACAGGTATCCTATGACCAGATCTTAAAAGAATTACATCTACGCACACATGAAATTACGAGAAAGATGAAAGAAAAAAATACGTGAAAGGAAAAGGTCATCGGATCATGCCAAACCATCAATGATATTGCAGATCCCCATCAGAGAACAAAATGCTAATGACACATTAATGGATATTGCAGATCCCCGCCACGTCCATGTCCATGTATTAACAAGACCATACCCATCATCGATCAGGCTCTATGGAACTTTGATGCCAAGAAAATCAGCAGCAGATTTTGCCATGACGTTTGCAAACTCATTAAAACTCAAAACACCATCTCCATTGGTGTCAGCCTCTCTCATCATATCTGATAGCTCACGATACGTCAAAGGGTGTCCCATTTTAGCCATTGATCCTGCAAGCTCAGCAGCAGTAATGAATCCATTGCCATCCCTGTCAAATGATCGGAAAACCTCCAACAACTGCTCCTGGTTGATCAATACTTCTTCATTCATATCAGGCAATATAGCACTGACCAACTCATCAAACTCAACATAACCATTTCCATTAGCATCCATGTTTGATAACAGAACATGAAGTTGATCACCTGTAGGTTTGAGGCCAAGAGAACGTAGAAGCGCAGCGAGCTCCAGCTGCGTGAGGCTGCCATCGGAATCCATGTCGAAGCGAATGAAGATGTCCTTGAGCTGCTTGAGCTGATCGGTCTGAAGGGCTGCCATCATGGCTGGATGGAAATGGAGGAGGTGAAAGGAAAGGAAAGGAATAGTTTTTCTTTTTCTTTTTTTGGAATCTGTATTTTGGCTGGTTAAGGATGCGGGGCTAATTGAGTGTTGTTTCTTTTGAACTGGAATGGTTCAACCAAAACCGCGTTATATCATTGCCGTGTTATGTGGGGGGTAAAAACCAGCAAAGGAATAACGCAGTCAAGTTTCTGAAATATTCTCTGTGAACGTTGGGGCATGTGGGTTCGCGGTGGCGTTGCCTTATTTTTTTCAAAACTCCATGTTTGCTCTTTTTGTGCTCTATTTTGATCTTTCTCAGGACAAAAAGAATCATTACAAGAAAGTATCTGGAACAGAATAATGGTATTTTTTGTACATTCATCTAAAAACCTTGACACCGGCTTTGAAGGGAGTTGAGTTCTCTTTTCATACTCTATTAATTATTATAAAATTAGTCGAGAATAAATAAATATTTTTTTTTAATTCAGATTGCACCACAATATAGCAAAATAAAAAGAATATGGCATGAAAGAATATTTTTAAAATGATTTTTTAATTATAATTTAAACTGATAAAAAATTTGTTACTTGATCAACTATTAAAAATAATAAATAATTAAAATGTATGATAAAATAATAAAAATACTCTTAAAAGAAAATAGAAATTGATTGATCTTTTGAAGATTTGGTATCGATAGTATTTTAATTAATTTAATACATTTATGTGAATAAAATTAGAATGAATCATCATTAATTGTGAATGTTTTTAATTTAATATGTATCTTATAGTATTTAACAGATATGTTTATTTTATGTTTACGTTTACATATATCATATTAATACGTTTGATCTTGATCAATAAAAAATACAATTAATCATAGAAAATATTAAAGGGCTTAATTTTGATTAGTGGGTCTATAGAAAAAATCACAAAACAACTATTAATTATTGAAATAAATTTATTTTAATAAAATAGTAGTAATGGAAAAAAAACAAATTGAAAAAAAAAAGAGAAGGAAAGTGGGGTCAGGGTGTGACAACAGGGCTCGCGTGCTTCGTCGGCGGGATGCGCATGGCCTCGGCGTAAAAAAAAACAAGAACGGAGGTGAACAGCGTGTCATCAGCAAGAAGTGGAACTTTTGATGACTGTTTCGACGAAAAATCGGTAGCCGCTAGTTTTGACCCTCAAAAGTCAAACCCAATTTCTATACTATTTTTACTTTTAAATCATCCCATCAATATTTAAAAACTATTTTTAAACCTCAAAATATATTTTTAATCAACTCTAAGAACTAGAAAATTATGATTCTCTCCTCCCTTCTCTCTCATTGATTCTCCCCACTCCTTGACTCCTTCTACATACACGGGCCTCATGTTAACACTAATAAATTTTAGGGACCATTCTATATAAACCTTGAGCCCTGAGGACCAGAATGAATTCACGTTTGTAAGAAATTACTTTAATTTTAATTTAATTTGATCTTTGTATAAGGATGTTGTTAATTAGCAAACATGGCTCAAGATGACTGTTTTTTAGCATCATAGCTAGCATATTCATAGCTGCAGTGCAACCCTTCATTATCTTTTAGTTAATTATTTTTAATTAAATTAATAATAATGTAATTTAATTTAGTCAATAAATAATATTTACAGGAGGCAACGAGAAAGATAATTTCTTGTGAAAGCATTGGCAAGTTTGGATGGCTGATAAAACTCTAACAAAGAGAGATTTAAAGATTCATCTAGAGTGTGCTAGAAATTATTTTTATTTATAAATATATTAAAATAATAATTTTTTAAATTTATTTAAATTTATTTTTAACATTAGTGTATTTAAACAATCTAAAATTATATATATAAAAAATAATTTAAAGCTTAAAAAAATCAAAAACATTTAAAAATAAATAGTAACTTGGATGACACGGGAAGGTTAGTTTTTGAATGGATTGGCTTTGGGAGCACAAAGGTTTGAAAGTTATCGCTTCTGTTCAGTGTTCAAATTGAGGAGAGAATTCAGTGGTTCACTAGTGAAAACCATTCAGGGCGTGAAATCAAAACTGAGTTTGCTAATAAAACCAATAATTAATCAAACCCATCTGAAAAGATTCTCATCCTCCCCCACAATCCACAATGCTAATCATTGAAAATTATAGCATTACACATTAAACAATGAATGCAGCGTTGAACATTCTTAGAAAATCACCATATTTGTCCTCCCAGACCAGCAAACACAGAAGGGGAGTGAAATTATAGTTGGATCTATCTAAATTCTTTTCATTGTTTTATTTAAACCCAGTAAACGAAAGATTGGTGTCATCATTGTATAGATGTCTGCTCTCTTGACTCCCTCTGGGATTGACTGGCACGTTAAAAGCAAAATATGCTAATGGTGAGAGCACCATATGGAATTTTGATTATGGATATGTTCGTATATGTTCGTAAATTGGCAATAATAATGGTGTGTTTTCATTCTTCCAAAACTCTAGCTCCTCCTGACGCTTCAAAACATGGGATAGAAGCCATTGTCACCGAGCTGAGATCAATAAGCCCAGATTTCGAGTCTTTCACTGTGGCTTTCTTTATTTAACACTTCATTTGATCCCGATCAGTGCTTGTGACACACTATAACTAGTCACATCAGCACCACCCTGTACCGGTGCAATCATCATTTGCATCAGATGTATAACTGGAGATATTCACACCATTCATTCTTCATTACTTTGTTATCCACGAGAATGTAAGCTGTTTGGCATGGAACCAGGAATACAAAAGAAAATGGCAAGAGTCACCTGAGAGTGTGGCACGACTCTTACATGCTTCAAGATGAATGGACAAAATTGAATCGAGATTTTATTAACACAAAAAATACTGTTCAGAACAAAAATTTGCAGACGCTAGTTACAAGAAGAAAGAATTACAGCACCTGTGACGTGGGAAAATTAAAATAACCTAGCTACCAGTATCAAGGGCTTGAAATCCAACCCCTACAGGAGAAAGTTCATTTCAGAGACCAACCTGTACATCGTGAGCTTGTATATGTTCCATCTCAAAATTCATGAATCCTACTGTTCATAGATGAATTTACCTCTAACACTATTTACCATGTGCTCTTTAATTATCCAGGCTATAACAATCTATACTGTAATTTTGACTACCAAATGCCATCCTTCGAAACAGTCTAATTTCTTCAGATTGTTGTGCAGAGTTGAATAACTCACTTTCTCCCACTCTCATTCCATTGGTTAGATCTGCTGTCGCTAAAGTATCAAAAGCTCTAACAACCTGAGAAGCATAGGCCGGCTTAGAGAAATACACCTAAAATCTCCAAATCTGAACTTTTAATGGAGAAACAAGAATTTTCAGCTAGTTCAGTGATCAAATTGCAATTACCTGTCCCATCCGTGGCCTCTTAGAAGCTGAATGCCGCACACAGGCTGCAGCAGCCTCAATCATTCGGAACATTTCACTTTCAATGTAGTTCTTTTCGAGCCTTGGATCTGCCAAACTTTCAAGTTCCCCATTTTCTAGTGCATGATTTAGCAAAGGTCGAGCCTGGAAGAAAGGTATGCTTTTGGTAAGAAAAGTTTCAGCATGAAATTGTGGAAAGTCAAATACCAGTTCAACACTTCTATTTCTTTCAACATGTGCATTTTTCAGTTTTCTTTCTATACATTCCAAAAAAAAATTACTGGAAAGAGAACAAAAGAAAACTAAAAAAAGCAGGATTACGTATTCTCCACCACAAGGTACAGACAAGAGGAAACAACATCAAGACAGAATCTTTCAAGACAAAACATTGTTTCACCTCAGTACATTTGTTTCATTGGTTACTTCTTCTTTTTTTATTCTTGCACTGAGGAATATCATAATTATGCACTGAATTTAAATCAAGGTTCAGTAAGATTAGTCCTAGATCTGGGAATGCTTTTAATTTTCCATGTACTGAGTTATTTTCTTCAGTATAAAATCTATACATGATTAGAGGCCACAGGCCACGAAATCAATGGAGCTCCAGAAAACTCAACAGAACCCCGATCCCCCACCCTGCATACACCAAGGAATAACATCCACTCAACAAGCAAATCTTCCAAACAACCTATTTCTAAAATAAGCACACCTGTTCCTGAATCAAACACCATGGGAATATAAAAGAAGTTCAGAACAGGTCTTGTAACCTTTCACTGAATCTATCCACAATTCAAATGTGAGAAGCTAGTAGTGTTTCGAGCAGAAGGTAACCATGTTTCTATTATCTTTGTAACTAATTTTCTAACAAATGTAGCAACTTCAGAAACATCTTCTCATATCAAAACTAAGCAGTGAGAAGAAAAACACATAACAGAAAGCATAAAAAATTACATGACTCAAACTAAGCTGTATCGATATAACCAGAAACTTCAGGATAAATGATATAATTGAATTTATCATTTATGCATGCTGAAATAAAAGGCAAACCTTTAGGTTAGATCTGCTCAGCAGATGAGGGATGCTAAGATCAAGTCCTTATTACTTGCAACTAGGTTATTGGATCTGGATGTATCTTAATGCATGCTCCAGTTAACAATCAACAATTCGTGAAAATTGAATAAGTCTATCGTCCAGAAGCAGAATGCTAGCCAGGGTGCATAAACAACTTACCCATTCAACAAGACTCTCCTCTCCCATGGGCTGGGATGCATCCACAGGCTTCCGTCCAGTGATTAGCTCCAAAAGCACAACTCCATATGAGAATACATCAGATTTCTCTGTTAATTTGCCGCTTGATGCATATTCAGGGGCCATGTATCTGAGTGATCAATTAAACATTAGATGCACATAGACATGGCTGATATATGTTCATTGCACAGGAAACGAAAACCAAATACAGCTGAACTTTGAAAATAGTATTCCCATCAACTCCTGACTGCCCAAAAGGGCTGAAACCCTCCCTGCTCACACAAAAAAGGGCAGAGAGAGAATAGGGGTGCCCCTCGGTGACCCTCTAGTGGCAGGTATTTAAGCAAATAATAGATGATCTCTTACCCAAAGGTTCCCATAACACGAGTTGTTACATGAGTGTTTGAATCAAGAGCTAATTTGGCAAGCCCAAAGTCTGAAACCTGCAAATTAAAATCTAGAAACAGTTAAACCACAATCTAATTGAAACTAATCATAAACAAATGTTAAAAAGGGAAAATTGTGCATACCTTAGCTTCATAGTTGTTATCTAAGAGAATATTTGACGACTTAATATCCCTGTGAATAATCCGAGGATGACCTGAACAGATAATAGTAAATCAAATGAATAAAACCTACACCATATGTAGTCTAATAAGGAAACCCATTCATTATTCTAGCGTTAAGGAAATAGTGCACCTATCAATGAACATTATATGGCTGGAGTTCTTATTTACATGTTCTTAACTCTAGATCATCAGTAGTACCAAAATTAATATTTTCATACTAATCTTGATTGAGGTAGAATTCTGTATGTGCTTTAAGGATGAGAATATTGTCAAATTGCATTCGGTTATTAGATACTTGTTTTTTATTACTGAAAGTTGGATCACAACTTTTGAAAATGAAGAGTGGGTACGGATGGATGGCTTAACCTTTCAATAACAAGAATAGAGTAAAGGAAAGCAGTTGCCAAGTGTTGAAAAAGAAACAGGTGAATAATGTCTTGAGCTAATTTTGGAAGTGAATGTGAACATTATCTAGCTAATAAAATCCAGATTTGAAATACTAACAGTCTTCATGGAGATAAGCTATTCCCCGAGCTGCTCCAGCAGCAATCTTAACACGTGTTGCCCAATCCAGAGCCAGCCCACCCACCCCTACAGAAAGAAAGACCAACAAGCATGACTGATGATCATTTTTATGAACTGACATGCCAAATCTCATCTATAAGTTGTAGCTTTACCATGAAGATGGAAATAAAGGGTATTGTTAGGGACATAATCATATACGAGCAATCTTCGGGTCTCAAATATGCAGTAGCCCACTAGAGAAACCAAATGGCGGTGGTGTACGCGACTAATAATCTCAACTTCAGCTTTAAATTCTCGCTCACCTTGCCCTCCACCAATTTTTAGCTGTTTCACTGCCACGTCTCTCCCATCTGGAAGGTAACCTTTGTATACAGAACCAAATCCACCTTCTCCCAAAAGATTTTGGGATGAAAACCCATTTGTCGCCTTGACTAGCTCTTCAAACGCAAACAAAGGCCTTGAATTACCTAATCCGCTTGATTCAGTTGGCAAAGAAACACAATCACTGCTAGAACCACTTGCAATTAGGGGAGCCGTAGAATGAGTCTTTGTGAAAGTTGAACCTGAGGGCGCAAATTTGAAAAACTTCAGAGTTCTTGTCAACAATCTCATTCAAAGTGCTTAGCAGCAATCTCATTAAATGCAAGTTTGCTAAGAATAGATTACCTTCTTAATAGGAGAAATCAGAATAGATTAACCAATTATCTGTATTTTTATAAGATCCAAATGACTATATGATTTAGTTTTGCCATTTTTATATGTTAAGAAAATATGCTCTCGAACATTTGATTGCATGTCAGATGCAGTTCAATTGGCAAAAGTTAAATCAATTTATGAGAATAAACACCAACAGAAGTTTTGGGACCCTCTTGGCAGAATTCCTAATTGCGTTACCTAGTGACTAGGAGTGGCACTATTGAGAAAGGTCATAACAAGCTAAAGAAGCAATGGTGAAATGCCGTTTAAAATAAACACCTGATCTTGGAGAAGAGCCCAAAGAAGATGGCATAACATAAACACCATTGAGTCCAGAAATCTCTTTTCGCCGCTTCCTCATGCACCAGAGAGCCAGTCCAACAAGGCTGAGCATTATAATTCCTATTGCTGCACCAATAGCCACCATACCTCCAGTACCGATGCCCCCATTACCTGTGGAGTTTGAACTTCCAGGTGAATTAGAGGCGGTATTGTTCGTGGGTGATGGCGTGGACACAAGTGCGGGTGGAGGCGGAGCCAATCTTATTTTTGGCGGTGACAATGCTGGTGGATTGGAATCTGATGGGACAGGTGTTGCTTGAGGAGAAGTTGGAGGAGTAAGCCTAGGAGGTGGGGGCACATTACTGGGACGAGGGGCTATTGAAATTGGTGGACGTGGTGAATTCTCAGGTGGAGTTGATGCTCGTGGTGGAGGTGATCTTCGAGGAGGTGACAAGGATGCTGGTGGGGGGGTCGGAGGAGGTGGTGGTGGTGAATTTTGAGGTGGCCTAGATGAGGGTTGTGATGGAGGTGAACTCTGAGGTGGCGGTGTTGATGGTGGTGGAGGTGAACTCTGAGGTGGCGGTGTTGATGGTGGTGGAGGTGAACTCTGAGATGGCGGAGATGGTGGCGGAGGTGAACTCTGAGGTGGCGGTGATGGTGATGGTGGTGGAGATGAGATTTGAGGCGGTGGTGGAGATGAACTTTGAGGTGGTGGTGTCGATGATGGTGGTGGAGAATTTTGAGGTGGTGTTGTTGATGGTGATGGTGGAGAGGAACTTGTAGGTGGATTCAACAGTGGTGGTGGAGATGCAGTTGATGGCGGATTAGATGGTGGTGGTGGTGGTGGAGGTGAGCCCACGGGCGGAGTTGCTGATAGTGGTGGAGGAGAATTGGAGTTTGATGGAGGATCACTACTGGATAAAGGCGGAGAAGGTGATGTCATAGGAGGTGGTGGTTGTGGTGGAGGGGTTGATGGTGTGGCAGGAGGAGGGGTTTGGGGTGGTGGTGATGAAGCAGGAGGGGTTCTTGGGTCTGGTGGATTGGCATTGGGCTGTGAAGGTGGGGAAGTGGGAGGAGGAGAGGAGGCTTGTGGTGGTGAACTAGTAGTGGATGGTGGTGGTGTACTGTTTAAAGGCGGTGGAGTAGCAGAGGGGGGTGAATTTGGGGATGGAGATACAGTTGCCATCACTACAGTTCCAGATTAAGCGACTTTAAATTCACATCACAGAATTTAAACTTTCATTGGCTTTTCACAAAGTTCTCCCAATTCCAGTACGAAAGGCAAGGTTTTGATCAAAACACACCCATCAATTTCAAGAAATAACTCCAAAATGAACAAATTTTAAAACCAAGATAGATTCAAATCACCAAAACTTCACCAACCATGCTCTGAAAAGTCACCAAACATTCATACTTGAAATCACAGTAACCTCTTTGGAGCCAGACCCTAATCACTTTCGGGGTTTTTAGCTAAACCCAGATTTCCAATCTCTTTACCCGCTAAAAATCAGATCAGGAATCACAAACAAGACCAAAGCCACTTCACAGAGGCAACCTTTAAAGCAACACCCAAATTGCTAAATTTAGAGTAGAATTTAAAAGACCCAGACTTCGATCAGTAAACTGATTCCAGTAACGCCGATAAGATCCTCTACATTCAGCGGGCAAATGCAGCGACACTTGCACCATTAATTACTCTACAAACAAGAACACAGATGCTAAAAACTCAAGAAACCGTACCTTTCTTTTACTTCAGGTCATTTGCATTGCAGCCAATATCGGCTGGTTCTTTAAAACTCTCTCTCTCTCTCTGTCTTACCTACATATGAAGTTCAAATCAGGAACACGGATTGTGGGGTCTCAAATCCAGAGCAGTGTCGATAGAGACCGTCAAAGCTGAAGAATAATGAGGCAGTTTTGTTTAGCATGAAAAGTAAACATTCACATATTTTTCAAATCATCATCGTCTCCATCATAATAGTGTTATTATTAAATTAAAGGTCAAGGTCTATTAAAGCCTAGGACTTGCTTCATGGTAACGTCAAGTCCATGATATATTTTATCAACCTATGACTCTTTTTCATTATTAACCTTCAAGGATCAGCATCCATGTCTTTAGGCTCTTTTTTTTTTTTTTCAATTACTGTTTGGTAATGCTAGTTGGATAATGATTGTAATTTTCAAGTGTTTTATAATACTCTGAAAGATAATATCATAACTTTTTTATGTATTATTTTTAGAATATTTAATTTTAACTTTTTTTAAAATCACATTAACAACTAAAAACCATAGCTTTATCAAACTGATTCTCTCATTTGGATCTTTTCTTCTGAGTATTAACTAGATTCTCTGTACATTTAGAAATTTTGTTTCGTTTTCTTTAAATTAATTGAACATTAGATAATAACACGTGGCGCGAAACTTATTATCATACTGAAAAAGAAATTGCTCGGGATGAAATAAAAGGTATTCCCTCATAATTAATTGTTACTCTCTAGAAACTAGGAACTTTCCTTCGGTGGATCTTTGTATATCATAAAGTTATTTATTTATAGATGTTAAAATGACATAGATTTGATAAATTAAAAAAAAAAAATCAAAATGTGATTAGATACCCACCTTCCCCGCAGATAATGATTTTTTTTTGTCTTCGGGCCTTGTTTGATACTGCAAACTAATCCATAATGGTCTGTAATCTGCATGTTCATTTGGATTCTTTTTTTATAGTGCCCTAGTTTGACTGAAATTAATTACTACAAAGCGAACTTTAATTCAACATGGCTCTCATAGCTTTTTAACTGGTGTTTTGGACAGCGATGAAGGTTAAATTTTAATATTTTTACTTTTAAAAAATATTTTTAACATTAACATATTAAAATGATTAAAAAACATCAAAATATTAATTTAAAATGAAAATATACGTTTATTTCAAAACACTGTGGAATCCTAGCATCAAACACCCCCTTAAAATAATACATGTAATGCCGTATATATATATATATATATATAACAAATCAACATTGATCTTGTAAATGTAAGAGAAGCCATTGTTTTCTGTTTTAGAAATGTGTTTCCGATGAGAACAAAGGAATGCTCAGAGTAAAGTATCACCTCTAATGCAGTGGAATCTGCAAATATTATTTTCATTCATTTGCATTTCTTTATAGGGCAAACTTCTGTATCTGCAAATATTCTTTTCATTCATTCGCATTTCTTTATAGGGCAAACTTCTGTCTTTGCACCGCATTCGATCTTCGGTGCTTTATTTATTTTGCTACAGCCATGTGAATCTCGCACCACGCAGATGCAATGGCCGTGTCGTGTGCGAAAATAACTTGTAATATGTGACAACATGCTCTCTGTTATCAGTTTAAATTGAGCTATCGTACAAGATAGAGAGCGGAAAGTGGATGGGAGAATAAAGAGTGGTGAACAGGAGATTTGTCCGGTGAAAAAACTGTGGCTGACGCAGAGGTTGAAGAGGGGGGGGTCTCGCCGCGGAAAATGCCAGATCAAAGTGGACAAAATATTAACGAGTGGTGGGGGCCCAGTTTTGTGCAATCATTGAGGCCATCCCGTGAAACTTCAAAGATAAATTCAACTTGTTTAATGTTCCCAGGTTTTGACCCCATGAAAGAACTATAGATTTTGATATTATTCTAGAAAAAGTCCATGTTATGATCCTTTTTTACCATAAATTTATGTTGAATTAAACAATTATGTTCTGATAACTATGACTTAGTCCCCTTGTAATAATGTGATTCATTTTTTTATTTTTTTTTAAGTATATTTAGGAATGTGGTGTTAATTGTTTTTAAAAGTGTTTTTATTAGAAAATACATTAAAATAATATATATTTTATCTTTAAAAATTATTTTTTATAAAAATAAATTTTAAATCACATAAAATAAATTTTCAATCAAAGGTTGTTTGGAACACAATCTCAAATCATATATTATAATAAAATAAAATCCTCTTCTCGTCTTTTTTCCCCCATTTTTCATCACACTAGCCATTTCCTTGGAATCTATTTAGCCTTTCTCCCTTTTCCTTTTCCAACTTTTCTCCCCTTCGCACGCCATACATGTTTTTCCTTTAATCAATTGCCTTCAAACCAACCGAGGATTTAAAAATGTGACTGTAACCGTGTTTTAAAAAAATCAATTTTGTATTAAAAATTATGTTTTTTGTGTTTTAGATATTTTAATATGCTGATTTTAAAAATAATTTTTAAAATATAAAAAGATATTATTTTAATATATTTTAATATAAAAAATATTTTAAAAAATAACTGCACAATACTCAAAAATAACTGCAATCTTTTTTCGCCTGGCAAACCTGGCTTGTTTGACTGAATCTTAATTTATGTTTTGACTCTGGACATAAATAGTTTATTGCCTTTGATTAATCAAATTAAAAAAAGTGTCGGTGGAGGAAGATAGACAAGCAAACCGTAAATTTGAACACACGCGTCCATGATTCATGCATGCACTTCTACAGCAGTGGGGACTTGTAGACCCAGCAAACTCCTAGTTCATAAAGCCTATTGAATCGGTGCGAGTGAACCATTAATATTCGTAATGAAATAGTTTACATGGAAGCGCTCCTATCCGAGGGTCGGATAATTTCTTTTAAACGTAATCAAAAAAATATCACTATTTGATATTTTTACCGAAGCTGGCTAGCGTGTTGATTTTTAAATTTTTTTATATGAAATTTTATCTAATTTAAAATTAAAATTAAATCATGTTAATATTTATTTTGATATAATCCAATCAACTTAATTAATTCAAACTTATTTTAATAAATTGTAAAAATAGCATATGGATAAAATTAATATAAAAAACCTCTTAGTCCAACAACTTACTTAGTTTATATTTAAAATGAAACTGTATAAGTTTTATTTTGTCATTACTCAGTAAATTTAATTATTCTAAAAATAATATGTCTAGCCAATAAAAAAAGTTTAAGGATATAATTTTTTTTAAAAAAAATACGAAGTTGATTGGAAAAAAACTATTAACTTAGCTTAGATTTAAAATTAATTATTGTGAAAGTTATTTCAATTTAATTTAGTCCATTTCTTCAGTTAAAAATAACCCAACCTACTATTAGAAAAGTTTGGAAACAACTTTTTTTAAATGAATCAAAGAAAAAATAGAGGATTGAAAAAAGAGGAGGGGTGGGGCAATTCGAAAACAAAAGGTGCAAGGATGAAGAGCTTTAATATTTGCCTAGTGTCTATTTTAATGGCTACTAATAAATTGTGCATTCTCTTTTAGCTTTAATGCTTCTCGGTATAGAGAAAAGAGACAGCCTCTTCAGTTTTCAAATGTCGGGAGCCATTGGGTTGCGTGGTAAGGTTGATTTTCTTAACGACGGTGATGTGCCGCAATCTATCGGTAGAGTGGTTCCCTCTAACTTTAGAATGTTTTTTTATTTAAAAGTATTTTAAAAAAATTAAATTTTCATGAAATACTATTTCAAATGCAAATTTATTTCTTCTATGTAAATAGTCTACACAGTCGGAGTTTTTTTTTTATTGTCCAAACTTTTATAAAATATTCATATTAAAGGTCTGAAAAATAATTGTTTAAATATGCATAATTCTGATTTTACATGACCTACTTGAGAATACAAGAAACTTCATGTAAAAAGGGAGAAAATAAGGGAACGGTAGCTAGCGTCGTCTGAAACATGAATTGCTAACTGGGTATGGTCAAAAATAGGCACATCATGTAATGTGCTCAAAATCAAGATGTAGGAATATGAATGCTAATTGCCCATTTATTTCCTCCCTTCAATCGCATCTTCCATAAATAACCATGGAATTTCTGGCCCAGTCGGGCAATATTCAAGTCTTGATTTCACTTGGAATAGGTCAATTAAGGATCACTTGAAGTGCTGCTACATGGGCCCGAGGAACTATTGACAAAGACTTCCATTGATTCCAAATGAATGTGTTTATACTGTTTACTTGTAGGTTTGGAACTGTGGATAGTTCGAAGAAAAGGATAACTCTGACATGTATCTTAAAAATAAAATATAAATAAATAAAAAATCAGGCATGGGTTGGTGGGGATTGAAAAAGGGTCGCTACAGTACAATAGTGACAAAAGTCAGGGATACATGGGTTGGATTTGAGTTTAATGATATTATTTTACTGCATCATTAAAAAATGTCTCTGCACTGTTGTTTTATGTTTAATGAAATTTCATCACTTCTGAAAATGTCCTCTTGTTTTTTTTGGCTAAATAAACAAGGGCTTAATTGAGAGTGCCGGCATTAGTAAATATAGTATCAGTTATTTAGCGACACTGACAATTGTAGCAACCAGTAAGGGAGATCGGAGTTATCTGTCGGCCAACAAAAAAAAAAAAACCACCCTCACTTCAGGGCCTCCACGATAGAATTGCTAAAAAACCCAAGAATGATTTTTTAAAAAAAATCATGACCATGAATTAAAAGTTTTGATGGATTATATTTTAATTTTTTATAAAATAATATATTTTTAAATTTAATAAGATAATTTTCTTGTTATATATTAGCAATATTTATACAATTTTTTTAAGCATAATAATTACCGATTAGTAGACAGATTAGATATAATTGTATAATTGGTTAACAAGAATCATAAATAAATAAAAAATTAAAATATATTTTATGAATATATATATATATATATATTTAATTTATAGATTATAAGACAAACTTTAGTTAAAATATTAAAAAATTATTGTTCATGTAATATTTTTTATAGGTGATACTAAGCAATCAAGTATGATTTTACTATAATTTGATGAAGATTTGCTTCAAATAAATTATATGAATACCTTAATATATGTTTTTATAAAACAATAGAACATTTCGGGTTAAAAAAAGATTTGGTTGCACAATCATTCAAAAAAAATTATGATTTTTTATTAAATTCTTGAATTATATTTAAATTTTTACAGAAGATTCAAGAGATTGTTTTCCTTTTAAATAGCATAGAATCTCTATTTCATCATTGAGTCTTTAGATTTAAAAAATATCATTTCAAGCCCTTAATTTTGGCAATTTCCTTGCAAAAAATCAATTGATTAGTGCTGGATTTAATTAGATACATACAGTGATTTGTAAACTATAACATCAATTATAATATTACCGTAGCTTTTAATAATAATATTTAATTGATATTGCCGTGCATTATCATAATATTTAATAAAATATCACAATTCCCAACCATAACATCTAAAACTGTTATTTAACCAAAAAATTTTGCTTCAATATAATTTCTCTATTTATTTGCATTTTTCATGCTGAAATGTTCATAATTCTGTAGCCTCGAAGAACCGCATGCAGCTGGAGATCGACCCATGATAGGATCAAGTCAACTACTAGCCTATTGCACCTACTCTACAAGACGTTTGACTTTCGGTACCTCGTCTCCCCCACAGCAACAAGGCCTGTGCACTGCTGCACGTGCAAGCCATCGTATAGCTTAAAAACAAGATGCGGACCCTGTTTCGAACAATTTCCTTTGACTACTCAGAACTCAACTGAGCTTTTAACGAGTCAATAAATCTATGCAGACATAAACATGGGCAAGAGCCCCGAGATGTCTTTATATATATATATTATTTTTAACACTAACTAATTAGAAGCATAAAAAATTCTTAAATACATTAATTTAATATTTTTTTCAAGTGAAAACCGATTTAAAAATACTTTTAAAACAGAAATTACTACAACATTTAGATGATATTGCAACCCCTTACTAAACTTTTCACAAGAAAAAAAAATTATTACACTTTCCTTTGAAATTTAAGCATTACTAGATACAACAGTCGTTACACTAAATTCTGGAATTAGAACTCTTTGGTCGTTAGTTGCCTAGGACAAACCCTGTGACGACTCGGGAATGAACCTCTTCGGCTACCTCTGGATTCAATATCATCAGTTACCCTTCCATACTCAACAACCAAACCAGGTGCTGCAACGAGAGCGTATCAGTTAGACAGACATCAGTGGATGGACGAGGAGATCAGTTTTGCATCCTGGCCAGAATAGATTTTCTTCTTGAAGAAACCTCAGCTGCCCAGCTCTTTCCTATCACAGTTTGAAATTTTCCTACAGATAAAAGGGCTGTATGAATATCATGAACAAAAATTTTGACACGGTAAAACTATATAATCAGAAAGCTCTGTTCGTATGGAGTTCGAGATGAACAAGTAGTAGATTCTACCTGCTTTTGAAAAGAAAAACTCATCCAACACCTTCCCGTGTTCTGTGAAAACATGACATCGAATGAGAATTCCTTGGAAGCGGAACATTTAAATTTGTTAGATAACCTACCCATTTCATATTCCAATGCTTGCAAAATCATCTCAACCTGAACATGAGACTTGGAACTTTAGATTGCTAACAAAGAATTGAACATGGGAAGGGATATACAAATATAAATGTAAATCAAGTACTATAAGAAAATGTGGTTTATGGATTTGCTTCAGGAGAGCGTAAAACTACATTGGTTTAACACATTGAAGTTTATTCCAGTAGAAGCTCTTTATAGCATTAACATTGGGAAGTTTTCCGAGTGAACATCTAGAGAGAGAAAGGGAGTCACCAAACATTTCAACAGCAACCGGTGAACATATCAAACACAAACTGAGGAGGATCACAATGTCAATCGATGGAAGAAGTCCCTGGGCAGTAACCAAACTACTTTAACGTTTTTATTTTCTTTATAATAATTCCCTTAATCCTTAACACATAATGGCCATCAGAAACAGCTTCCTGCGGCTTTTCCAAAAGACTGGTCATCTCAATAATTCAAAAGTAGATGAGGATATATGACGCACATGGCAAACACATTTGATTTGAATACTGTCCTGTGTTTCACCGACTTTCACGGTTTCACCGCACATTGCAATAGCAAGAAAATCAATTGAAGAAGCATTTGGAACCATAGACCTGTTTCCTTATAGCATCATGCAAAAATTCAAACTTTGTCAAAGTATTTGACAAGGTTGGCATCCAAGGAAGCATTGTTTTCATACTCCGCCCATAACTCTTTGATCTCTTCAGCTGAAAAAATGAAAATATTTAGTTCCAGAAAACTCAAAGCTGAAACTGCTAAAAGTCAAGATAGCAATAGTCAGTATTTGAGTAACCCTCAGTTCACCAAGAACTCAACACATTTCATTTAAAGCCGCTTGCTCCAGCCTACTCTTTTCTTGTTTAGGCACACCATTTGATGGTGTTATATCTCCAACAATATCCATCAAAGACCAAATCCCAACTCAAAATTCAAAACTCCAACAAAATACATGTGCATATTTTGCAAAAGTAAAACACAATAAGCTCAATTAGATAAATAAAAAGAGAACTATTACAAACATGGAATAGAATCGCCAATCAATGCTGTTGTTGTAGGGCTCTTCTCCCATCCTACAATTACCAACAATACACGATTCTGATTTCTGACTGCAAAATAAATATTTGCAGACACATTGTTCTCTTACTCGTTAGGTGTAAGCTTGGGCATGCTCTGTGGACTATTATGGCTTTGGAGCATCCACTTGTATGTTTTACTTTTATGGCCTGACAAGAGTCAAATAGTGACAAATTAACAGTGTCAAATGTGCTCATGAAACACATTGATATCTGCTCTCCTAATTTTAGCCAAAATTCAGTTTTAAGTGAGAGATCTATTCTCCAATAATTTAGTCCATTTTTCTCCTCAGGTGGTGATCTATTCATGACATGCCAAGGCTGAAGCAGTACAAGAAAAAAACCGAGCCATTTAGGCAGCAAGGAGCTATTTTCAAAAAATAAAAAAATTATGGATTCAAGACATGATTTTGCTTACGCAAAATATCATAACCCCACACCCCCACATAGGCCCATACCACCACCAAATCCATGCCCTACACATTCTCAAAGAATCATGTAAATTTCCATTAGAGCATAAATGAACCTGTATCAATGGGAATAACATATCATTTATCAACCATATTGATCAATTAAAAGAATCCAACATAATACCATCTTTTTCTACAAGTCTACTCTGTCCAAAATATCAGGCAACCAAGCGTCGCTCAAAGCTCATTTAAGTGGTAAATTTGCAAAAATGGCTTGTTTTAAGAATGAAAACTACAGGAATACATTAGGTGACTTTTTTAAGGACCTGTAAATTATATGGGTGCTAGATACAGTATCAACAAGTAGAGTTAATCAGATATCCAACACCATCCTGCCTCTATTCTCCTCAAAAGACAAAAAAATGATTTAGTCTAATAGCAAATTGAATCTCTGGCTCCTCTCTTCTGATTGATAACCCAAGACTTTCCTGTTTGATTAAAGCCCAATAATCTTCCCTTGTATCTTATCATGGCATCAAACCATTTGTTTCCAATTAATCATAACATTTATGTAGTTAAATAATTTATAAATTGGTCTATTCTGCCCTTCAGTCTACAAATTTGAATTACATGATGCAAGAGTGTAAATACACACATTGACTTTCTTGAAAGTGCACACAAAGAAAGAAAAACACAAGTCTTCTCATGATATAAACTATTCAACCTTTCTCAGTTCAGCTTTTCACAGCGAACTAAAATGAACATCAGCAATCAGAGCCATCAATGGCATACTGTACATATGGTCAGCAATTGATTCAGGACCCTTTATCCCATGGTTGATCCATCCCTTCAGTTTTGTGATCTGAGAGAGAGAGATTGGACATTTCTAAAATGTAATCTAGACCTTTACCAACATCAGAACAGGCTCACATAGAGTAAAAAGGCAAAAAGAAAAAAATAAATCAAATGAGAACCAAATATTTTGGTCATGATCAAAGCAAAGAGAAGTGCAACAAAAAAAACATTAAGAAGCATATGTATACAAGGCATAAATACACAAGCATGTACGCACCCATGGTATTTGAAAAACAAAGGAAAGGAATACTGGCTCCAGCCTCTTTCAGAGTTGCTTAAAGGTGAAACAAGCAGAACTTCGAGGGGCTTTTGTACCATAACAAGCCACTTGAATATATGTTTATCTCATGTAGCGGAGACACTAATTCTAAAACACGTTACATTGTCAAGGCTGAGAATTTATGATAGAGATTTCAATTACAGGTACAGGGGCCACTCGATTTCCATCATGCAAGGTTTCACTATAATTCTTAAAGCACAACAACAGTAGTCTGGTAATCTCTGCAGACCAAGCTACAGCATAATTTGCATAAACTCATCGGTGAGAACACTTAGTACAGCACATGCACATGGATTTATGGTAAAATGGGATGCCCTTAAATGCCAGTTTTTGAAGGCCTACTTAATGTAACAAACACAATAATATCCAGTCTTTGCACTGACCTCCATACACAATCCAGTCCAGTCCTAACAAACTAATCAACTAGAAGGCAACTCAATAATTACTCTCCTTTACTCCAACAATATCAACAAATTTGCTTAAGCTTATAGTCATTATAATTTGGAAAGCCAAATCGCTGCTAACTTTTAGGGAATAAAAAAGTGAATAGAACAAGAATTGGATGATCTTGTTCTTACATTGATTTCTAACCTAAAATCATAATTTCTTAATCAATCACAGACACAAATTATCTGCTCTAAACTGGAAAAGAAACCCCGTTTCATAGTTAATAAGAAAAAGGTGAATGCTTTTCCATTTCCCAATCTATTCTAAGAAAAGAAGAGCAATCCTTTTCCCACTCTCATTCATACCTTCAATCGATGGCACAATGTGGGGAAATCAATAGCCGATGAAGCTGGTGAGTTACCCGTCATAGATTGGGACTCCTCAACGGATCTCATGGATCCTAACCCTTCCGAATTAAGCTTTTCACAGCGAACTAAAACGATTCTTGGGTTCGGAGCTTCGTATAAGAAAATGGGCTGCCTCCGTTTAAAGAAAGCAAGGGAGGAGGGAGTAGGTGAGGTGAACTCAGTGAGGAGTACAGTGAGTCCGTGTATCAACAACCATTATTTTTTTATGTTCGGTTTCTGTTGTGTTCTGCTTGGTCTCAGACACCGGAAAAAGAATGTCCTCTCTTTAACTCGCTGTCACTCCTGCAGACGCCCACTGTAATAGTTTATCTTCCATACACTTCCATTTTTTTTTTAATCTCTTAATTTTAATTCTTAAAAAAAGACAGAAAGAAATTGTTTCATATCGATTTTCTATTGACGAGCAACAAAATACATTGATCAGCTGCGTAAATATATGGGTGTAATATGCATCGACATTGCAGTGTCGCGTAACTGTGGAATTAATTATTATCGATTTAAAAATTGGCAATTATGTGGACTGAGCATCATTTTTCTTCTTCAAGAGAAAAATTATGATTAAGTTTAATTTTTATGCAAAAGAATTATAAAAGAGTTTATGGAAAAATATGGTTTGTCGGGATTGTCAGGCAAAGATACAAATACAATGAATGCGGAGACGCGCCAATCCAGTGAACCAATCCCGCTCATTCATCGACTTGTCTTTTAAGTTACAATCGAGACCCCAATCTTTGAAGAGATTCACAAGTGGATCCTTATTAGTTTCCCTCACTTCTATCGTCAACTTAATTACATGCAACCGTCCACTGCCTTTTAAATTAAAAAACCTACATATCAACCATGACCATCTAGGTGGTGGCTAACTAGTAAACACTTAGAATTAAGGGATTTATTTTTTTTGTGGTCTTAGATTCGAGTCTTTGATTGCTCATATGATAACCACTGAAGACTTATATGGTTATTAATTTCAGGGCTCGTGGGATTAATCGTGATGCGCGCAAGTTGACTTGAACATCCACATTAATCTAAAAAAAAAAAAAACCCTACATACCATAACCTAGTGGGGTGGTTTAGTGTTAAGAATTTAAAATTAAAAAAATTATTTTTTTATAGTTTGAAGTTTGAGTCTTGTAATTACTAATATAATAACTATTAAAAATTTATATAATTATTAATTTTAAAATTTATAAAATTAATTAAAATATATATAAGTTAGCCAAACATCTTATTAATAATAATAAAAAAAATATTCATAACAAGATTATATATATTAATTCCTTTTCTATAAGAACCTCCTAGAGCCTTTATATATGTTCTCTCTTCAGATAATCGGTCAGTGTATGCAAAAATCCAGCCTAAAAAACTAAATGGAAAGCCCAGCTCAGAGTTTATATATTATTTTTTACCTCGGGCTTCTATAAACTTGCATTTCACAATAAATAATTTTTGTTAGCACCAGAAACAAAAAACAAAAACAATAAATAATTGCCTTGAGATATCCTGAATTTTCTTTAGCTGTAATAGCTGTGAAGATTCGCTCAAAACCGCCGACGGCTAAAAAAAACACGGGTTCAAGTGCTGCTTGGACCCAATAGTTATGGGTTCTGAGCTTGTCTAGTTTTATCTTTAATGCAATTAGATGCCTTGTTTAGCTACATTTCTTCAGTAAATTTTTAAGATCTCCATAAGGGCTCTTTAATTTTTTATATGATTTGTTATTATAAATAATATATAACTTAAAATATAACAAAAATAAAATAATTCTTTGAATTTTTTTGCTTTATCAAAATATAAAACTCATATGCTATAAATATTATGTTTATTTTTTTCAAAAAATACTTATTAAAATATCTAAAAATCCTCGTGTGTATATATAAAAGATCTTTTATAAATAACAAACAGTTAATTTCACATGCACCAGGTACAAGATATAAATTTACAAAAGAATATATTTTGCAGATAACGACAAGGAGACACCTTGATCTACCTAAGGAGATACAAGCTACAAAAGAATAGATTAGATTGGCAGAAAAGCAAGTATCTCATCAATGATCCATCCTTTTTTACCATAGCAGTTGGACCCATCTAATCATCCATAAAATAAACAAATTATAACGGAAAATAGATTTGTTATAGAGTTAATGTTGCGTAAACTTTTTGAATAACAAACCATATTGGGAGGTTTAATTTATATGGAACCTTTGACATTTCTGTTACTTTTGCAATTATGTTTGACAGTTAGAATAAAATTGCTATAAATTAGGGCTGAAAATTATTGTTCCAGTCTGATTTTGAATAAAAATAAATAATTAGATTAAAATTATTATTTTTAAATTTTAAATCGAGTCAAATCAAAAACTAGTTCAAATTAGTTAATTTTGATTTGGTTGGATTTGATTTTTTCCCTTTTAAATTGGTGAAAACAGAAATTATTCCGGCTAAGTTTTTTTTGGGCTTTTTATTAACTATATTTTTCAATATTTTTATTTATGTACTTGCTTTTATTTTTCATAAAATCAACTTTAATTTTTGTTGTGATAGATCTTTGCCTAGAAGTTAAACCCAGCAAAAATAAAAATACAAAACAAAACAAAAAAGATATCCCCAACTGCGACTGCTTTCTTTGCAGTTAGGTTAGCTAGTCTACTCTTTCCTGTTCTTCAAGCCCAATAAGCTTAAGGTGCTGTTGCACCCCTTCAATTAGAATAGATCTTGATTTAGTATTTTTTTTTCTAAGGTTTTGAAATTTTCCGGAAAGTGTGAATTAAGAGTAGTTAGAAATAGAAATCGTTGGAATTAGATGAAAGTCAGTGCCAATTAAAAGTATTTTGAATACTACTTACAAAATTTTGAAATAGGATAGCCTCACGACTATGGAATTCTTAAACCTTTCTTTGTATACCCCTATCGCATGAGATGAGAAATAAAGAAAATAAAAGAAAAGAAGATAAATTTGAGAGATGAAAGACAGAGGGTAAGGAGAGGGGGCAGTTGAGAAGTGAGAATGCTGATTTAAAGAAAATATGCTATTTATTCCTTTTTTTTTCTAGTGCTAACTTAGTTGAACCTGATTGATTTAGTTTAGTTCAATTAATTTTAGATTTTAAAAATTGAATCAAATTAGAAATATTTATTTTATAATTTTTTAATTAGTTAGTTTGGTTTTTTTTTAGCTTTCTCAATTTAATTTATTATTCAGTTTTTTTTGCTCATCCTGCTATAAATAAAAGTTACAGGATATCATTGCACCAATTTGCGTTTTAGAAACTAAAATAAAATTGCTACAACAAGTTACTTGGATGACGAGGACAGGTTAATGGCATCAAAATACTGTACGCCATTTTCCAATTCCTAGCATCCAAGTTTTTTAAAGTTACAAAAGACAAAACTACTTTTTCCGACATAAAACTTTTTTTTTTTTTTTAATGTAAATCAGATCAACCTCAAATAAGCATCTAACTACTACTTGACGTGAGACCATCAGCCCTGGTTTGTCATGTTTATCTACTTGTCTTCCTGAAAAACGTGTATTAGAAGTCGGAACGGCAGAAGTGATCGTGTTGCTAGGCTTGAGCAGTACAGTATAGAAACATGTTCATCTTAAATTCTTCGACGCCGTCGAAAGAGGTTCACACCATACACTAGCAAGTAACATGTTCAGTTCAAAATAAGGAAAACGGCTCTGTTTTACTTTGAGATTTTTTTATCAAAACGTTCTATACGCATGAGAGCTTGGTCTCGAACTTTCACGAGGCCTAAGGCCGTCGAATTCTATATCCATCTTTCAGATTTTGTTCAATAGCAGAAAAGGAAGGGAAAAAAAAGCAAAAGAGAGAGAAAGGAAACTAATTGCATAGAAGGTTCAAAACGATTTGTTCAACATTAGTTCTACCTGTTGTTTGGTACTATATTAGTTATGTCTACTGGGGCAATATTGAATTAGAATTTTGTTTACGTGGCTTCTTTTATTATTCGGCATATAGTTTGTTTTGCAATTTCTGTTCTGCTGTCTTCTTTTTTTTCTTCTTTTAATTGTTCTTCCGTTATTGTTAATTTACGATAAAAACGAGGGATTTTCTTGGAAACAAAGGCAAGGTCAATAATTATTAAGTCAATTAATATAGACTTGCCGAATCTCCTTTCCTAGAACCAGAGGCTAAAGCAGAGAAAAAGAAGTAGCAGATCAAGTGATCAACAATATTGGCTACGGACAAGAGGGCATTAAATTAAAGAACAAAATTTGGAGTGCACTGTGCAAGATGAGAATCCTAAAAATAGCTGCATAACAGCGAAACCCCTTCTTGATGAAAGGCTTGGCCTTTCCATGGCGTGAAGCACCTACAGAACTAGAAAGAGATCTCCTTTTCTTCAACAGCACACCATTTTGAGTATGTCGGCACTCTCCGCCTCTCATCTGAACATATCCGTAGCCATATTCCACAGACAGTAGCGGCAGTATGCCCAGAAGCACAAAATATATAGCAGAAGACATCATGTATATAGTACAGTGCTTGAAACTTCTAACTGACGAAAGTTTTGGAGAATACAGAGAGATCACTGAAGAACTAGACATGTAGAAACCTCACCATGAACAGTGAAAGAAGATTTGTGGCTTGTGGTTATTAGCAAGAAATCACAAAAGTAAACAATCATGGCCAACTTGACAGAAGCAAAAAATCTTGAAACGTAGTAAAGAAAAATGAAGCAGTGCAGACACTAAATGAACTGAACCCAAAGGCCAAACCCATGCAGATACATCAACACTAGAGTCGGGCAACGCAGAACCATCAAAACCAGCAGTATGTCAGCTATAGATTGACCAGGTTTGAAGTTTCTCATCACCCAAAAGATGATTTGGAGCATAATGCAATAGCAATAGCAGTTTAGATTGCAGAAAAGTCCGAACAGAACAGTGTAATTGCAGAAAAAATTGCTTTTCTT